CCCCATGCAAATCGACGGTGTGCAAATTTATTTTTGTTGTCAACTGATTGTGGGCTGCAGCTCTTCCGTGAAAATTCATGACATGCAAGTTTTGACGTGTCGTCGAAACATTTGTAGGATTGCCTGTGGCTGGTTGCATCTCCAAACACAGATTCTCTAGGGTCTGACGGCTAGATGAGGTAAACAGCCTTATCAAAGTTCGTTGGCTCCTGTCAGTCAGTATTTTCAGCTTACCTGGTCGTTTCTTGGGTTCATTGTCACCTGTGGACTTCCATTTCTTCAGCACGCTGCCAACTGTCGACCTTGGAATGTTTAATTGTTGCGCAATAGCACGTACAGCCAAACCATTTGCATATTTCGTCATCACATCTGGTTTCCTGCAATCAGAGGTATGTCCCATGTCTTTTAGTAGGATAGTGTATGTCTTTTCATCAACAGCACGAGCGAACACTGTATAATTTTGAAGAAAAAATATTGGCAACTTGTACATAAAACTAGACAGCTAAAATATCATTAATTAATCTGGAAAATAGCATTATGCGTTCTTTGACATATCTTAAAAAAATACACGCACACAAAACGTTAAATCATATTATTAATTACATATAGGTATTCCATTGTTTGTTTTTGTTGTCTTCTTAGTGCTACACGATGGGCCATCTGCACTGTGTCCACTGCGGGGGGAATCAAACCCCGAATTTTAGCGTTTTAAGTCCGTAAACTTACTACTGATCTACCGGGGGTGTGGGTGGTATTGCATTAAAGGAAGTCGTGTGATAAATTGTAAGAAAATCACTTTTTCCCCCATTCAGTTCTAACATTTTGCGGCAATATGATTGGTCGAATTTAATGAGGTACACACAAATACGAATAAAAATACGAAATATTCGGAACGTATCTGTAAAGAATATCAATAATATTTACATACTTGAGAAGAGGGATGATTACCAATAGCGAAAGTATAAAGAGCTGCATGTCACAGCAGAGGTACCAGGAATGTTCCAGGCACTGAAAAAATAATGTTCATCATTTAGAAGAGTTAAGATAATTGAAAATATCAATATTAGTACATTAGTATTTCTGCCTATAATAACATATTAGTATTTCTGCCTATAATATCAATATTAGTATTTCTGCCTATAATATCAATATTAGTATTTCTGCCTATAATAACAATATTAGTATTTCTGCTTATAATATCAATATTAGTGCTTCTGCCTATAATATAAATATTAGTGCTTCTGCCTATAATATCAATATTAGTATTTCTGCCTATAATATCAATATTAGTATTTCTGTCTATAATATCAATATTAGTATTTCTGCCTATAATAACAATATTAGTGCTTCTGCCTATAATATCAATATTAGTATTTCTGCCTATAATATCAATATTAGTATTTCTGCCTATAATATCAATATTAGTGCTTCTGCCTATGTTATCCATCACTTAGAATACAAAGCTATAAAACTATTGTAAAGTAAATTAATATATGCTATTCAAACATTTAGAGGACAGCGTGACACATGTCTTGCTGTTGTGTTCTTGGTTATATTTGGTATGGTTGTTGATAAGCACAAAGTTACACAATGGGCAACCTATGCACTGCCCACCACAGGTATCGAAACCGATTTTTAGCGTCGTAAGCCTGCAGACGTAGCCGTGAGTTACTAGAGGTTTATGTCCTTGAATAAGACACTTTACCCCAATGTAACCAGCTGTATGATGGGCACAGCTGTTAGCTGGGGGGGGGGGATCTGCGATGAATTGGCATCCCATCCAGGGGTAAGGGGGAATGTGATGAGCTTTAAGTGATGAGTGACTTCCACTTCTGGTCATTTATCGCTTAGTGTCAGTCATACGAATTACAGGCTCTTCCATTAAAGTTAACTAAATTCCAACCCTTTGTTTCACTTCTTCAATGAAGTTAAAATATACACAAACCCTTTGTTTCACTCCTCCAATAAAGTTAACTAAATACCAACCCCTTGTTTCATTCTTCCAATAAAGTTAACTAAATACCAACCCCTTGTTTCATTCTTCCAATAAAGTTACGTAAATACCAACCCTTTGTTTCACTCCTCATAGGCTCGTCAAGATCGTTTCCAGTTAACATAGAGTTTCTAAAGTTAACTAAATACCAACCCCTTGTTTCATTCTTCCAATAAAGTTAACTAAATACCAACCCCTTTTTTCATTCTTCCAATAAAGTTACGTAAATACCAACCCTTTGTTTCACTCCTCATAGGCTCGTCAAGATCGTTTCCAGTTAACATAGAGTCTCTAAAGTTAACTAAATACCAACCCCTTGTTTCATTCTTCCAATAAAGTTAACTAAATACCAACCCCTTGTTTCATTCTTCCAATAAAGTTAAGTAAATACCAACCCCTTGTTTCACTCCTCATAGGCTCGTCAAGATGGTTTCCAGTTAACATAGAGTCTCTAAAGTTAACTAAATACTAACCATTTGTTTCATTCTTCCAATAAAGTTAAGTAAATACCAACCCCTTGTTTCACTTCTCCATTAAAGTTCACTAAATACCAACCCCTTGTTTCATTCTTCCAATAAAGTTCACTAAATACCAACCCATTGTTTCATTCTTCCAATAAAGTTAAGTAAATACCAACCCTTTGTTTCACTCCTCCAATGAAGTTAAAATATATACAAACCCTTTGTTTCACTCCTCCAATAAAGTTCACTAAATACCAACCCCTTGTTTCATTCTTTCAATAAAGTTAAGTAAATACCAACCCTTTGTTTCACTCCTCCAATGAAGTTAAAATATATACAAACCCTTTGTTTCACTCCTCCAATAAAGTTCACTAAATACCAACCCCTTGTTTCATTCTCCCAATAAAGTTAAGTAAATACCAACCCTTTGTTTCATTCTTCCAATAAAGTTAACTAAATACCAACCCTTTGTTTCACTTCTCCAATAAAGTTAACTAAATACCAACTCCTTGTTTCATTCTTTCAATAAAGTTAAGTAAATACCAACCCTTTGTTTCACTCCTCCAATGAAGTTAAAATAAATACAAACCCTTTGTGCTATTCCTCCAAGGAAGTTGTTTACAAAAATAGCATTTTTCCACCACCAGTTTCTACACATCTCCACCTGAAAATCTAGCGTGTCGTGCCATACAGGTCCAGATCCAAGCAGAGGAAGAAGAAATACCAAGGACGTGACTATCAGAAAAGTTGGTGCTAAACTGGGTGAGACGAAGATTAATCCAAAAATTAAATAAAATAATTAAGAGTATGAACATTGTGAAAAATACGCATCTGTATATTGAAAATGACGAGAGTCCTTGGAATTATCTTTAGTTAGACCACTACAAATTGGAACAGTGAAGTATTCTTAAAGGCATATACTGTTCATTGTTTTGATAAAGTTCCTAATGTAACATGTTATACTAATCTTTCGTCAATAAAACCCCTTCAATGCAATCAGCTGTGAAAGAAAAGTAGTCTTTTTCGCGAGCATAAACTATAATTTCCTTGTGATTTATTACAAGCTCTCACTTTTGGGTTTCTGACGTTATGGAAATGCAAGTTGATTGTATCCCTAATCTTACCTTAGTTTTAACCAATAGAGGTGCATTCCTAATCTTATCTCAGCTTTAACCGATAGCGGTGCATCTCTAAGCTTACCTTAGTTTTAACCAGTAGAGGTATATCGCTAATGTTACCTATGTTTTAAACAGTAGCAGTGCATTCCTAATATTACCTTAGTTTGAACTAGTAGAGCTGCATTCCTAATCTTATCTCAGCTTTAACCGATAGCGGTGCATCTCTAAGCTTACCTTAGTTTTAACCAGTAGAGGTGTATCGCTAATGTTACCTATGTTTTAAACAGTAGCAGTGCATTCCTAATCTTACCTTAGTTTGAACTAGTAGAGGTGGATCTCTAATCTTACCTTGCTTTTAACCTGTAAAGGTGCATCTCTAATCTTACCTTGCTTTTAACCTGTAATGGTGCATCTCTAATCTTACCTTAGTTTTAACCGGTAGAGGTGTAACCTTATCTTACCTTAGTTTTAACCAGTAGAAGTGGATCGTTAATATTACCTATGTTTTAAACAGTAGCTGTGCATTCCTAATCTTACCTTAGTTTGAACTAGTAGAAGTGGATCTCTAAACTTACCTTGCTTTTAACCAGTAGAAGTGCATCCGTATTCTTACTTTAGTTTTAACCAGTAGGGGTGTATCGCTAATGTTACCTTAGTTTTAACTAATAGCGGTGCATCTCTAATCTTACCTTAGTTTGAACTAGTAGAGGTGCATCTCTGAACTTATCTTACTTTTAACCAGTAGAAGTGCATCCCTATTCTTACTTTAGTTTAACTAGTAATGACACACTTTTTGTCTTTCTTTCTGGGCCCCGAACCCCGGATCTTTTAAGCACCTAGCGACCCTTCTGCATGTGTGCTCAATTTCAGTCCAGTTTCTCGAACATTTTTACCCAGAATTAAGGAATTTGCTATGAATACATTCAGTAGCATTTGTAGCTTCAGTTTTCAGATTTATGAATACATGTGCTGCTATTTTATTGTTCGTTTAGTTTTCCAGTTGCTGACTCGATAACACAATAAAGCACGAGAAGAATTATCTACGTATTCATATAAGGCTAAAATTTTTTTAAAGAATTACGAATTTTAAGATCCAATGGCTTTTGGTAATCCGTAAATTTTTTTAAAGAATTGCGAATTTTAAGATCCAATGGCTTTTGGTAATCCGTCAAACTTATTAATTTGGAATATGTCACTATTCGTTAAAAAAAGTGAGGACATGTAGAAGCCTAGGAAGTCGAGAGATGTATTAGTAGTGGGATAAGTTTAAGGATGTGTCGCAGCTTTAAAAGAAAAACATGTGAATGTATCTTTATTGTAAAATAACACAAGTCTAATGATACACTTTTATTGCAGTTAGTGTTGTATTTTGTACCATTGTTAGTATTGTATTTTGTACCACTGTTAGTGTTGTATTTTGTATCATTGTTAGTATTGTATTTTGTACCACTGTTAGTATTGTATTTTGTACCACTGTTAGTGTTGTATTTTGTACCATTGTTAGTATTGTATTTTGTACAGATGATAAACACTTTATACTTCTGTACAGTGGTTTTTTAGTTATGTACACAACAATGGAAGGCGTCAGGAAGGTCAACGGAAGATTTAGCATCCCCTTATTTCTTCTTCATCGTTATCTTCGGTAAGTGACCCTGTGTTCATGAAGATAAGTATTCAAAAATTCAGTCAGCCAATCAGGAGTGCAGAGTTGTCGCTAGGCGCCGGCACACGGGGCCCGTACCCAGAATCCCCAGTTGGTGTCACGAAAAATCAGAATAGAAAACGCTGTTCGATATCATATTGAAACGCCGAATATTCCCGCACATATAGTGGTACAAAATACAACACTAACAGTGGTACAAAATACAATACTAACAATGGTACAAAATACAACACTAACAGTGGTACAAAATACAATACTAACAGTGGTACAAAATACAATACTAACAATGGTACAAAATACAATACTAACAGTGGT